CTGTGGCCTTACCGTGCTCAGCCAAGTCCACGATCTGTGTGTGGTCAATGGCCGCGTACTGGTCGACATGCATGGGGTGCGCCACTGGACAGGAGGCGCACTCGACGGCACGGCATAGATGCACGTTACCTGTCTCCTCGAGGTTCAGCCGCCACTTACGACTGGTGCACCCCAGAACCTGCCCGATCTTGATGTTGAGCCCGTGGCGGTCCAGTCGGTACCGGTCCGCGAAGTTGCAGCTGATGCGGGCCACCTGCCCGTGCTTGCGCAGAAGCACGTGGTTGCATGCCCGATTGGTTCCCCGGCCGCGGACCCCCTTTGTGTAGAACTCCGTTTCCACCACGCCGCCCAAGCCCGGCCCGCGCCAGCGCACCAGCAAGGGAGTCGGAGGGGGTGGGGGGAGATGGGCGCCGGGCCCATCGCCTCCGCGTCGCTGGCAGCACCGGGTAATCTGGTACCACGCCCAGCGGAGTCCCCCGGCTGCCCACAGCATAGGCTGGGCTGCGGTGTTGACGATGAAGGCCAGGGCACCCAACACGAACGTGAAGATGCCTAGGGCGAAGCAAAGGACCGCGGTCTCCCACCAGTACCCGAGCATCTTAACGCCCAGTCGGTCGATGGCGGATCCAATCCATCCGCCGCTCGTGCGGATCGTGCCAGCGTGGTCGGGGGAACTCACCCACGCTCCGTAGCCCACGAACTCGAAGACCCAGGCTGCGAATCCCCAACCGGGACCTGGCCCCGCCTCCGGGGGCGGGGTAGGTGGCGGCGGTGGCGGTGGGGGCACGTTCCGGCCAGCCCACCAATGGGGCAGGTGCGGGACCCAACCACTCCACCCCCAATACCCGTCCAGCCCGCGCGGCTGGTCAGGCTCGCCATCGCCCGTCCGGTTTCCCGGGGCGGACGGCTGCCCAGGCGCGCCCGTGGGCTCGTCGTTCCCTCCGTATGCCGGCGTAGCTGGGCTGCCCGTGGGCTCGCCCTTGCCTACGCGCCCGATGCCCGCGGGTGTGGTCGTTGTAGTCGACCCTGACCGCGGCGGCGTGGGGGCGCCCGGCGCCCCCGGGGGCTTGGCCTGCGGCCCTCGCCCCTTTCCCCCTGCAGGCGCGGGCTTGGCGGGCGGTCCTCGCCCCTTGCCTTGCCCCCCACCGCCTGTCGGCAGCGCTGTCGGCCCGGGTAGGGCTGACGGCGTCGGCGCTAGGACCTCATTTCCCCCGCGCCCGAACGGCAGCCAGCCAAGTGCCCCTTGGACCGTGAAAGCACCGCCCATAACCAAGATCATCAGGTGCGCTCCCAGGAAGCCCACAGCCATGGCACCACAGACGCGCTACCTAGTCCGCGGACTAGCACGGCTGTGGTTGTGGCCGCCCCGCGGCCCCCCGGAACACCCGCGCGTCGGCCAGAGCCGAACGCTACGGACCCAAAATGGTTACCTGAGCCCACACCCCCTCCCACTTAACCTGCAGTCTACAACCAATCAGACTATACAAACTGCCGCGCGCGATGTGCGCCACGTCCCATTCCTGCCACGCTTTTCGCATCGTCGACGGCAAGAAAGACGATGTTGAGAAGAAAAACGGCCACTTTGTATTGATTTTTTACAATTTGGATGGGAGGTCCCGGATTGGGTTGCGATCGGCCGGAATACGAGGTAGGTGGGGGTATATAATAATAAGGAACAAGGATGTGGGTGTGGGTGTGCGTGTGGGTGTGCGTGTGTGTGTGCGTGTGCGTGTGCGTGTGCGTGTGCGTGTGCGTGTGCGTGTGCGTGTGCGTGTGCGTGTGCGTGTGCGTGTGCGCGTGTGCGCGTGTGCGCGTGTGCGCGTGTGCGCGTGTGCGCGTGTGCGCGTGTGCGCGTGTGCGCGTGTGCGCGTGTGCGCGTGTGCGCGTGTGCGCGTGTGCGCGTGTGCGCGTGTGCGCGTGTGCGCGTGTGCGCGTGTGCGCGTGTGCGCGTGTGCGCGTGTGCGCGTGTGTGCGCGTGTGCGCGTGTGCGCGTGTGCGCGTGTGCGCGTGTGCGCGTGTGCGCGTGTGCGCGTGTGCGCGTGTGCGCGTGTGCGTGCGCGTGTGCGTGTGTGCGTGTGTGCGTGTGTGCGTGTGTGCGTGCGTGTGCGTGTGCGTGTGCGTGTGCGTGTGCGTGTGCGTGTGCGTGTGCGTGTGCGTGTGCGTGTGCGTGTGCGTGCGTGTGCGTGTGCGTGTGCGTGTGCGTGTGCGTGTGCGTGTGCGGTGTGTGCGTGTGCGTGTGCGTGTGCGTGTGCGTGTGCGTGTGCGTGTGCGTGCGCGTGTGCGTGCGCGTGTGCGTCTGCGTCTGTGTCTGCGTCTGCGTGTGCGTGTGCGCGTGCGTGTGCGCGCGCGTGTGCGCGTGCGTGTGCGCGTGCGTGTGCGTGTGCGTGGTCGTGTGTGTGCGCGTGTGCGTACGTGCGACGAGGGACTTGGCGCAAGGCTGGATCCGATGCTCAGTGAATGGCACAAGACGGGTGGCGCACAGGGTATGAGACCTGCCACTTACGCCTTCGCCAGCACCGAGTTCAAGGACAAAAAGAGGCGGCTGCGGCGGCAGCAAGGAGAAACACATGGAGGAGTAGGAAGGGCGGAGGACTGGGAGGAGGCCTCGTGGCTCGGAGGGCCCCTCCTCCTGGGGCCGGGGCTGTGACTTACGCATGGGCAACGGCGGCTTGACTGGATAAATCGGACCCGGGTCGGCGCTAATTCGAGCTGTGTGCGAGCCGAGCAGAGTGCTGCGCGATCTGCTGCCGGGTCAACAGAGGCACGGCCTCGGGCGAACAAATCACGACGGCTACAGGCGATCTTATGTGTGGAAAGGGCCACCAGCCGAGAGATCGTGTCATCGCAAGGCGTCGTAGGCACAGCTCCCAGACGCTCAGTGAGTGGAGCCTCGAGAAGTGGTTCAACCCGCGCCGCATTCGAGACAAGTTTCCAGAGGGGCCCGCAGCGGACGAGAAGGACTGGGAGGAGGAGAAGGAGGAGGGACAGAGGAGGAGGGCGGGCTGCGACGACTTCCTACCTCCAGAGCAGGGCCGGTGGAGCGACGGCGTTGGCCGAGAACACCTGGGCGCGCTCTCTCTCTCTCTCTCTCTCGGGAGGCGATGCCCTGCACGGCCGCCTCCCCCCTCCCCTGCCCTCTCGTTTACCACTACTTTGTACATTCATATTTCTCTGCTTCTTCCTCTTTATCCGCCACCGTGCCGCGAGGCACCGTGTGGAGTGGCCCCAAGTCACTTCGAGATCTCTGCAGTGATTAGTTTTAAACCACTCTTAGACGGGCGCAGGCCTCCGAATTCTTGGCGCTCTCGGGCGTTCTTGGATGCTGTTGACCGCGGCTTCCCGCACGACCTTCTCCGAGGCCCTGGGGGCGTGACCGCGGGCCTCAATCCCCGACATGCACTAAGATGGCGCTCTGGTGGGGACCTCCTGGCCCGCCTTGGAGGCCCTGGGTGGCCAGATCACAGGAGCACAGTTGGTGCGTGCATGCCTATCGCATACACGCCTTTTCGGTTTGAAGGGTGTCAAAGACGCCCACCTCGGCGGCCCCAGACCCTCCAGGCTTACGATGGTGGCTGTGGCCCCGTTCCAGCTCCATCTGGACTGCGCCAACACTCTGCGCGTGCTGGCCGGTGGCGCCGGCGCCGGGGCCCGTAGCGCTGACATGCGGCTCCACCTGTGCGGGGCCCTTTGGCCGGCGATCGGCGAGCGCGACCTCGTCGCCCACAAGACTCTCAGGCCTGCAACGAATGCCGACGTGGACGCTGGGCACAGCACGCACTGGGAAAGGCGTGCCAACAAGCAGGCTGACGAGCAAGCCAAGAGGGGTGCGGCCAGACATGGCACTGGCGAGCCCGACGCGGCCCTGTGGCGGTGCCTGCGTGCGCTCTCCAAGGAGGCGGCGGGCTGGAGTGCCACCCTGGAGGCCCGGCTGGGCGACGGGACGCGCCTGGACCACGAAGCTGTCCTTCGGCGCCAGCCTGCTGCATTTGCTGGCGCCGACGCTGGCGACGCGGGCCCAGGAGCAGCAGGTGCGGCGGATGCGCGCCGCGAGGATGCTGTCCTCGACGGTGGTCAACCTATCGACCTGGACGAGCTGCAGGCCGACCAGCCCGAGGTCGGCAGACACGCCCAGGCAGCACCTCCCTTGCTCTCGCCCCTTGGGTGGTCAGAGCACGAGGGGGGGAGGCCACTGAACGGGGCTGAGGCCAGGCGCAAGAGGGCGAAGAAGCTTCAAGAGACGGAGCGGCCACTGGCGCGGGTCCCGCCCGAGCGCGGGTTGGCCGAGTTGGGCCGAGACTCAGCGCGGGCGGCGCGTCCCCCACCCCCCCAGGGCGCGGCCGAGGCCGCGCGGGGGGGAGGGCGCCGGCGCGGCAGCCGCCGGGGTTGATGGAGTGCCGCCTCGAAGCCCGCCTGGGCGCTGAGTGGCCGCTGGCAGGCGCGGGGCGCTCTCACTCGCGCGCGGGCTGGCCGAATTGGGCCAGGACTCGGCCCTTTCCTGCGCGGGCGGCCCTGGGCTTCCAAAGTGCGCGTAGCCTTCTGCCTCGTCTGCGGCGCGGTCATGACGGGCAAGCGGCCTGCCAAATTGATGAAAGGCGCCTTGCCTCGGACGCCAGGAAGGTGCTGGGGCGGAGCAGTTGAGGCTTATCCGCCAACTCAAGTGGCCACATGATCGCGCTGGCCACCAGGGCAAGAGGCTGGCGGGCCCGTTCGCCCTGAACTACGAGGAGCAGCTCGACCAGTGGCTACACCTTGTGCAACGCCATGGCCTCCGAAAATCCAACATCGAGGAGGTGCGCGAGCTCGGGCTCGCAGCGACATGGACGGATACGAGTGCGACTGAGGGGGCCCGAACGGCCCGCCTGCTCGGATGCAGGCTCTACAGATCCCGATCCCGATCCCGCCCCCTCTCCTGCTCACCCCCTCATCGATCCTCGATCACTCCTCCTCATTCTCCCTCCGCCTCTTCGCTGCTGGTCGGCCCCTCTTCTCCCCTGGGGGGCGCGCGCGGGCGCGGACACCTCGATCGGGCCGTGAAGGCCGAACTTACCTGGCTGGCTAGCCAGGTCGGCGTCGTCGTCGTGGCTCTTCGTCCTTCATCGTTCTCCTTATTCCTCCTTCCCCATCCTCCAAAATTACACAGTATGAATACTTCTCTCCTTTCCCCGCGAAACTGATCGAAAAATAGCCCGCCCCCCTCCGCGTATTGTTTTCACACACATACACACAAGACTTAATTAGACGGTCGTTTGTCTTTTTCCCATCCGACACTTTCGCTCCCCCTGCGCGTATGGTTGTTTGCACACATGATGTGAACCAACTGTGTTTGCCGCCTGTGTTTTCCAATACGGATGCTGTCGGTCCTTCCAAAAATGCGGTGTCGCTCCATCTTTAGCTCCATGTTCGCACTTCCCCGCTCATCCGAAATGGCGTTCCCGTCTCATCGTTGGCTCCATTTCCGTGTTCTCGGCCACATCAATGTGTTCTCGGCCCTTCTCACTGGTGCTACCACTGCAGCGTTAGCCTCATTCCGCGCTTTCCTCCTTCAAAATTGCACTCCCGCTGCATCGATGGCTCCGCTTCCGCGTTCTCGATCCATTGCATCGTTCTCGATCCTTCCAACAATGTTCCCGCCGTAGCGCTGGCGTCATTCCGCGCGTTTTGGTCTCGTGTCCTAGTTGCCATGGAGCCCACGCCCAACGGACTGGCGCTCTCGCCGCAGTTTTCGCCGCACCACAAGATCGTAACTGACTAACGTCTACCCGCTCTGGTTTCTGTGCGTCGTGATCTTTAACACCTGGCGTCGTGGTGCCGACGCTGGTGTGCGTGTGCGGACGAGGGCCACCAGTGACCCGCGCGGGTCACCCGTGAGTGGGCAGCTCTACCAGGCACAGACCGCACCCAAACGATCCACTTACCCTCCCAAGAGCCCGTTGCCATGCCGTGACGTGCACTGCGGCGTTTTTTCCCGGAAAGGGCGCGGGCCCAGGGTTCTCTTTTAGTAGGTTACGACTTGGGCCGGCGAAATTATTTTGCTATAGATTACGTGCGGGAGTAGGGCCGGCGGAATTATTTTTGAGGATGTCTCGAGCGAAACGCTTCGAGCGAAACGCTGGTTTTGCAGAGTTGGGGATGTCTCGAGCGAAACGCTTGGTTTCAGAATTTGTTGAGGATGTCTCGAACGAAACGCTGGTTTTGCAGAGCCGACCACGACACGGAAAAGCGCCCCTCGCGCAGGAATTCTGAAGATGTATCGCGCGTGCCGCGTCCCGCGCGCAGGAATTTAGATTTCTTGGGATTTTGACAGGATGTCTCGAGCGAAACGCTTGTTTTTCATAATTTGTTGAGGATGTCTCGAGCGAAACGCTGGTTTTGCAGAGTTGGGGGATGTCTCGAGCGAAACGCTTGCTTTTCAGAATTTGTTGAGGATGTCTCGAGCGAAACGCTGGTTTTGCAGAGTTGGGGTATCTAACATGGCGTCGGGCCCAACGCCGAATTATGAGGAAAAGTGATGGCTTCTTGCTCTGAACAGGGGGGTGCGCTTTGGGGGCCTCTCCAGGGAAGACGTTGTGAGGATGTCTCGAGCGGGAGCGCGAATTCAGCGTATCCAAGTCACGCAGAGGGGTATCTAACATGGCTGTCCCGAGCTGGAACCACATGTTTTTTCATGCTCAGGCCACCCAGGGAGATCTCTAACATGATTGTCCCGAGCTGGGACCACGTGTTTTATGTGTCCAGGCCACCCAGGGGGTATCTCTCATGGTTGTCCCGAGCTGGCACCGTGTTTTTACGTGTCCAGGCCACCGACACGACGCTTGTCCCCAGCACGTTCTGGAGCGCGTCCCCTTGGCACGTCTCGCGGTGCGTCCCCGTGGCACGTCCCCTGGCACGTCGCCTGGCGCGTCCCTTGGAACGTTCCGCGGCGCGTCTTCCTGGCATGTTTCCTTGTCAATTAGCTCTGCGGCAGCTACTGCGTGGACTATGTGCTCAGGCAGCTCGAGCTTAAGATCCAGATCAGTTCGGCCAGGACTCGGATGCAACGGAGGACTCGATCCACAACGCGGTAGAGCACAATCGCGGCATGGCACATCGCAGTTCAGCACGGCGCAGCACAGCACAGCCCTCGGCACATTACATCAAGATCGGTACACTCACTCAGCATTGCAACTTGGCACGTTCTTTGGCACGTTCCGTGGCGCGTCCTGTGGCGAGTCCCCCTGGCACGTCGAGCGGCGCGTCCCCTGGCACGTCCCGTGGCACGTCCATTGGCACGTTCCGTAGCGCGTCCCCTTGGCACGTCCCGCGGTGCGTCCCCGTGGCACGTCCCCTGGCACTTCGCTTGGTGCGTCTCTTGGCACGTCCCGTGGCACGTCCATTGGCACATTCCGTAGCGCGTACCCTTGGCACGTCCCGCGGTGCGTCCCCATGGCACGTCCCCTGGCACGTCGCCTGGCGCGTCCTTTGGGACGTTTTGCGGCGCGTCCTCCTGGCATGTTCCCTTGTCAATCAACTCTGGGGCAGCTACTAGTTATGTGCTTAGGCAGCTCGAGCTTAAGATCCAGATCAGTTCGGTCAGGACTCGGATGCAAAGGAGGACTCGATCCACAGCGCTATAGAGCACACTCGTGGCACGGCACATCGCAATTCAGCACGGCACAGCACAGCACAGCCCTCGGCACGGTACATCAAGGTCGATACACTAAGCATTGCATTTGCCCGTCGCCCAATCAGGTGTCTTTGAAACGTTGCCATGTCTTACATTTATATATTCCTGTCCGGGTTCGTGGGTCGATCATGTTTCTCTGTGCTGAACTCAGATGCCATGCTTTCCGCTTCAATGCTTTATGATGTAATGATTCACCACGCAACGCAACGTCGTCCTCTGACAGGCTACGCTCTGCCGTGCTCCTCTACGTCTTGCTATGCCGTGCCCTACCATGCATGACGTACCCTCTCGGAATCAATGTCCTGTTCGGCAGCCGACTGCATAGTTGTTCTTGAACTTTATTTTGCACTACCCGTCGTAGTCTGTTAGCCGCCCTTTCCCCCTCCGTCCCCCTCTGCCCCTCTGGGCTCGAGTCGGCACGGGCGAGGCCCGCAGGCGGGCCCCTCTGCGGTCGTGCCTGGGCACGGCCTCCCACCGCGGCGCCATTCCGCGGCCTTGCGCGCTCGCAGGCGCGCTGCTGGCGCTCCTGGGCCTCTCGGGCGACCTCCAGGAGGAGGCCCTGGCCGTGGGGGGCAGGTTCAGCCAGGACCAGGTCCTGGACTTCCTCGGCCTCCGCTTCGAGAGCGAGGGCGAGGACGACGTCGAGGAGACCGAGGCGGAGGGCCCCGCCTCGGTCGAGGAGGTCGAGCTCATCGACGCTGCGGAGGAGACTAAGATCATCGGGAGCAGCCCGCTCGTCATGGGGGGCTGGGCGCAGCGGAACAGGATCTACTACCTGCCCAAGGGCCAGAGCGCGGGCGTGGTCATGCTGTTGGTCGAGCGGGTTGGGAAAGCCAGCGACCAGACGTGGACGTGTGTGGACCCGTCGCTCAGGGTGCAGATCACATGCTTGAAGGATAAGCAATCGGTGCACAGCAAGCCACCACGGGGCGTCAGCCAGTGGACGGCTTTGCCAGGGCTGAACGACAAGACTCGGGACATGGCGCCGGCGGCCTCATCGGGGCTGATTGCACGGAAGGAGCTGGGCGCCGAGAACGTCAAGGTGGCCGAGGCCGCCGACAAGAAGAAGGGCTTCTGGAAGCTGGGCGGGAAGCGGAAGACCTCGAAGAAGGCGGGCCTGGTGAACTGGGTGTGGGCCATGGGCTCGAACCTGGTCTGCTACGGGTGGCTTCATCGTTCCTGGGGTGGGCTCGCTGGTGGGGCTTTCGCCGCCTGGCGCATCTGGAGGTATTTCCACCGGGGGCCTCTCTTCCACAGGATGTTCGAGGCGGCCGCGGCCGCGAAGGAGACGGCGGAGGAGGTGTCCGACTACTGGGGGCTCCTGCTGGAGGCCTGGGAGTCGGGGGAGTTGGAGGCCGTGCTGATGGCGGGCGGGGGCGTGATCTTCGGGGTGTTCTTGTTGAACTACGTCTTCCGCCAGTGGCAGGGCCTCTCGGACTCCGACTCCGAGTCCGACGTGTCCGACGGGGAGCTGATCATGGGCACCGCGGTGCCCGACTCGGACGACGAGCCCGACGCAAAGGGTCTCTATGCGGAGCTGCAGCGTGGGCAGGAAAAACTACGGGCTGGACTGACGGCGATCACAGAGGCGCTGAAGAAGGACAAGGCGGAGCCTCCGAGCAAGGCTACGGGGGGTCACGTCGGGTCCACCGACGAGGCCACTCCGACGACTGCGCAGCTGGACCAGTTCATTGCCAAGTTGAATGAGCATGGGGAGTTGGTGACGAGCGACTCGGATCGTGGTACGAGAGGCAGTGGACGTGAGGCTGGCAAGTCCGCCTCGGACTCGGACTGGGAGCGGCTGCCATCATCACCAGGGTCTGGGTCAGTCTCGGACACGATCGCTCAGCTGGAGATGGAGAGTAAGAATCCCAGGGACGCCCTCCTGAAGACCTTGAAGAGCTATGAGCACGTCCCCAACATGCGTGTGGGGGGTATCAGGACGCGGGTGGCCCCGACGGTGCTGAGCAAGATCTAACAGGGGGGGCGGTCCGCGAAGCTCGAGGTCCAGGAGTGGCTGAGGAGCAAGGAGCTTTCAAAGGCTCCCATCGCCAACGATATGCTGGTGCTGGCCATGACGTTGGACCGCAAGATGGTCTCGGGCGATTTCAAGGGCTTGATCAACTCCCAGGCCAGCGAGCTGAGTTGCCTCAGGATGTATGCGATCATGAAGGCCTACGAGGGCGTGACGTGCGAACATGACTGGAAGAGGCCCCGCAATGCTAGCGGGGCCAAGTGGAAGTCCAAGGTCGACTGGTCGCTAGGTGAGGAGTACTTGAGGCTGACATCTCACGACACCATCGAGGACACTCTCGCGGACGAGGAGGTGACGGACAAGTTGAGGAAGAGGGCGCAGATCCAGAAGCACTTGACGTCGGTGCGGG